GGTAATCTTCAAATAGATTTCAGGTATAGCAGCTAGTGTAGAACCTTCGGGCGGACTACTTAAATTAGACAATCTAAGGTTGTATGTGTAGCTAGTTGTACTTTCACAATATATATCATTTACTCACTATCAATACCAATAAAAAATTCGGCCGATGGCATTTGTATAAAGAAAAAAAAAAAAAAAAAAAAAATGTGCATATTGTAGAAATTATTTCATTTTGTCATAAATAGATTTTCAATATTAAATTACTGAAATATTTCAGCAATTTTATATCAAAAATCAATGCAGAAATAATTTCTACGATGGATATAGTTGGAGGTATAGGGACCAAATTCTTATTTAAATAAAAATACAGGTATGCCTAAAACTTTTCTATGCCTTAACCTAATAATTCGTAAGTTATACAAAATATTGTATTGATTATATACATTCACGAAAATTCGTCTGCATCTTCAATTGACTCAACTAATTCCTTGACAATTTCTTTTGTTGATTTATCAAATGTTGATAAATCAACAGCACATTGAAAATGAAATAGGGATGAGTTTTCAAAATTATTATCGGGCTGTATTAAATGTGTATTCAGAAGTTCAGTAATATGATTACTAAGGTTTGTTGGCTCAATTAATTCTAGATCGTTGTTATTTTCTTGGTCTTCTTAGTTAGCATTCTCTTTTAACTGTCTTTTTCTGGAATTTTTGAGTTCAATATCTCTTTCGTGACACTTATTACATGTGCGAAATAGTTTTATAGTGCCAGTTACTCCAGATCTTGTAAATTCACTATTGGGCCTTGTAGTATCACATTTGCCACAATGAGAAGTTTCCATTAATACAAATTTTTATATAACAAACTAAGTTATAGCTTTATTTATTTTATTTTTTAGAAATTAAATAGATAGTAAATTCGAATTTGCAATTTACAAAGAGAATATTTGGAATTTTTCTTGAGAAAAATTTAATACAATTTCTTTGGGTTTTTATATTTTATTGTTATTATTTATATATAACATTTGTATTAACAAATTACTGCTATTTCTTAATAGTTATTTTTTAGAATGGCCACGACGATTATAATAAGAAAGTCATGATCAATAATGATAATGCACATTCCGTGTCAAACTTAATTTAATCCAAGCATTTAGTTAATTTAGTGTAGCATTATTTAATTATCATTATATTTATTCGATGTAATAATTTAATAACATGGCGTTTTACTTGAGCATAAATAAATTAACATGGCATTATTAAATATATAACTAAGGTCTGGCGATCTTAGTGTAGTGGTTAGGTTGTCGGACCGCCATGCAAGAGGTCTAGGGTTCAAATCCTA